GATTTTCTGATTTATTTTTATTATTTTCCTTTCTCTACATAGCTTTGTTGTACTTTGTTCTTTTTCTAGTTGTTTAATGGAAAGCATTAAGTAATTTCTTCATGATCATTTTTTTCCATCATAAGCATTTAAAACTATAAATTTCCCTCTAAACAACACACTGATTGTATGCCAATTTTTCTCAGTATGTTATAGTTTTTATTATGTTTTTCTATTTCTTTTTTAATCCATGGGTTATTTAAAGATGAATTGATTCATTTCCAAATGGTTGGGATTTCTTAGATGTTTCATTGTGGTTTCCTTTTTCATTTCATTAGTCAATAAACATACTCTAGAAAATTAAGTTATTTAAAATTACTATGATTTGTTTTGTAATCTAGCATGTGATCTATCTCCGTGATTGTACCAAGTGCACTTAAAAATATTGTAAAAATATTGTGCAGTTTGCACTTGTTGGGTGCAGTGTTCATGTTGCTTAGATCATCTCTGTCTTTAATGCTTTTTGTCTGGTTCTATCAATTGCCAAGATATTGCTGAAGTCGCACTTAAGATTGCAGGATGGAGCCTTTTTCTATTTATTTCTGCCAGCCCTTTCCTCAGGAGTTTTGATCATCTTATATGACTATCAAATATTCCTTATGAATATAACTTTATTATTGCAAAAGTTTTATTTTTTCATCTTTAGTCAGACTCTTTGAATTAAAGGTAAATTTATCTAATATTAACATAGCAACTCTGATTTCTTATAGTTTAACATGATGCATATTTTTCCAACTATTTATTTTCAACTTATTTCCTTTTTTATTTAAACATTTTTTTTATCCTCATCCGAGGACATTTTTCGTTTTTTGTTCAGATAGGGTGGGAGGGAGGGAGAGAGAGAGAGAGAGAGAGAGAGAGAGAGAGAGAGATGTGAAAGTGACACATCGAGTGATTGCCACCTGCACGACCCAACCAGGGCTGGGGACAAACTGCAACTGAGGTACGTGCCCTTAACGGGAACCGAACCTGGGTCTCTCTGGACTGCAGGGTGACTCTCTAACCGCTGAGCCAAACCAACCAGGACTAAAAAAAATTTATTGGCCCTGCTGGTGTGGCTCAGTGATTGAGCGTTGACCCATGCACCAAGAGGTCCTGGTTTAATTCCCAGTCAGGGCACATGCCCAGGTTGTGGGCTGATCCCCAGCAGGGGGCATGCAATTGATATTCTCTCTCATTGATGTTTCTATCTCTCCCTCTCCCTTCCTCTCTCTCTAAAATTAATATAGAAAAAAAATTAGTTAAAAATTTTTTTTATTGAATTTATTAGAATGACATTGGTCCTGGCCACGTAACTCAGTTGTTTAGAGTATCGCCTTGCTATGCCAAGGTTGCAAGTTTGATTCCCAGTCAGGGCACGTACAAGAATCAACCAATGAGCGCATGAAGAAGTGGAACAACACATTGATGTTTCTGTCTCTCCTCTTTTCCTCACTCTCTGAAAAAAAATTACATAGGTTTCAAGTGTAAAATTTTATAATACATCTTCTGTATAATGTGTTCACCACCCTAAGTCTCCTTATATCTGCATTATCCTCCCTTTGCCCCTTTACCTTTTCTACCTCCACCCACCTACCTTTCCCTCTGGCAATCATTATACTGTTGTCCGTGTCTATGAGGGTCCCCGCAACCCCCTCTCCTCTGACAGCTTGCAGTCTGTTCTCTGTATCTATGAGTCTGTTTTTATTTTGTTTGCTTGTTTATTTTTGTTTTAATTTGATTTCACATATAAGTGAAATGATGGTATTAGTCTTTCTCTGACTGGCTTATGTCATTTAGCATAATACTTTCCAGGTCCATACTATACATACATCTTATCGATAGACTACATTTTTTTCTTGTTTTTATGTGTGTGTGTGTGTGTGTGTGTGTGTGTGTGTGTGTGTGCGCGCGCGTGTGTGTGTGTTTTAGAATTTTTGTGACAATACTTGCATTTTAAACTAAATTTTGGCCATCAACATCAATGTAGTTACTAGTGTGATTGAATTTAGAATTCTGTTTTCCTCCCCACTCTCTTCTTTCTTTTCTGCCTTCTATTAGATTATCTGATTATTTCTAGATTCCAGTTTAATTTAGATAATGACTCTGTAGATAAGTGCCCATTTGCATTATTTTTATCTTTGATATTAAATATAATAATCTTCCTTAACTTTTTATACTTTAACATTTTGTCCCTTCAGGTAAGATTCTGAATCTGCAGGGTTGAAGATATATAGTTCCCATCCCAACATACTTTACAGTACAGTTTTTACATCTAATACATATATATTATAAAAATGCCATGACAATACATATTTGCTTTAGACAATATGCATTTTTAAGATATTAAAAAGTAATATTTATACATCCCCACATATTTTCTATTTTAATACTTTTCATTTCTTCTTGAAGATCTGAGTTTCTCTCAACTATACTCTTTCTTCTGAGTAGCATGAATAATTTCACCTAACATTTCATATAGTGAGGTTGTGCCAATGATACCTTATATTTGTTTTCTTTTTAAAAAACTTCTTAGGTTAGCTTTACAGTGCTAAATATTTATATTCTATAATTTACTTCTTTTCTTTTCCTCAAAACAAATATAAAAGGATATGTTTGCATTAAAGTCCATGTGATGGAGTCAATATTAAAAACATGTTGTAGGTTTGTGAGGTGTATTTTCAACAGATATAAGCTTGAATTTCAAATGGCCTGTTCTACTGTGCAATATGGCATGTTTGAATAAGATGCCGAAATTTCTTAAATATGTAAATATTTTAAACAATTTATATAGTGTTTAGGTTTTCTCATACTGATGTCCTTGTCTTCTGTCCTTTTGTTTGTATCAAGAAATAGGTTAATAGATGTGAAGCCTGAAGGTACCAATTATAAACCTGCACTCAATTATTTCTTTCTAATGCATTTAACATGAGAAAAAATGCAGAAATTATATATTTTTAGATTTTGTCTCCTAAAAAAACAGATTTTAGAAAATTAATTGAGCCCTGGCCAGTTTGGCTCAGCGGTTAGAGCGTCGGCCTGCGGTCTGGAGAGACCCGGGTTCGGTTCCCGCTAAGGGCACGTACTTCGGTTGCAGTTTGTCCCCGGCCCTGGTTGGTCGTGCGGGTGGCAGCCACTCGATGTGTCCCTTCACGTCGATGTTTCTCTCTCTCTCTCCCTTCCTCTCTCTCCCTCCCACTCTATCTGTACAAAAAATGGAAAAATATCCTCGGGTGAGGATAAAAAAAAAAGAAAATTAATTGAAAAATAACATTTTTTCCGAGAACACATTTATATCATAGAACACTGTCTATGTGATGTTCATATTGTCTTCTTTATACACACACATACTCACAGAACTGTGGTTATATTTAAACAAGTTTAGCTCAAACTTACAAAGTTAAGTCTTGGTTCTTTTATGCAGTTATATTTCTAACAGTAAAATCTGTATGAAACCTACAACCAAACAAAATTTTCAGAATGTCCCACTTAAATAATAGCATACTCATGGCTGCTCTCCAATCGTTTTATCCACATGTAGGTATATGTAAATGATGAATAGACACATCCACATCCACATTTTTTCAAGTTCATATATACCCAGTTTGGTTTCCCAGGCAGCCTCAAATCTTCCTGTTTCTTGCAAATGTGGATTCTATTCTCAGAAATTCTTGACACTCTCCAAATCTTCTGGAGTCTAGAAAAATCCCTGTTCCAGTCATCCCAAAGAATAAGTCATAGTTAAATATACTGCTAATCCTTAGGTACTTCTTTAAAAACGGAAATTAGGGCATCACTTATTCATGAAGTCATCACTAAGAAAATAATCCAAATCTCTTAGATACTTTAAAATATGTAGATATCTTAAACATCTTTGCATGTAGAGAGAGAATGATGTGATTTTTTTTTCTGCTCAGAGGAGTTTTCTGAGGACAGTGATTGAATTTTAAATGACACTGAGGCCTGGAGGGGGTGAGGGGATTGAGCTGTGGGAGATGAGCTGCCTTCAACTTGTGTTGACAGCTGGAAGGGACGGCTGATTGCAGGAAAAATTCCCTCTCTCCACAGAATGGCCTTGGTCCCAGAATCTCCAGGGTCATGTGGGCAATAGCAGCAGGTGGGTGACCAGGTACTTTCAATACTGTAGGTAGTTTCAGTTTCCTCTAAAGGACAACTTCCTAGTCCTCAGATTAAAACGAAGAATATTTTTCAACATCATCTTTTCTGTTTTCCATATTTCCTATTCCTAGTTATATTTTTCTACCTATAACAAGCAGTTTTTAAAAGAGATCTTTTACATAGAATTTCAGATGTCTGAGATACACCGTTTCTTCAGGGTAAAGAAATGCACAGAAGACTGTTATATTTGACCAAGTAAGGTGGCCCTAATGTCCCTGTGCTCAAGGTTGCTAGAGTGAGGCAGGTCTGGCAGCCCATATTTCTCTCAGTGCATATGTATATGTCTTGGATTTTCCAAGGGTACTTGTTTATTAGAGTAGTTGGCAAGATGCTTTATTTTGGATGGTAATGTGGATGAATCCTTGGTTTTAATGCCAAAATTTAGAGCATTCTTTCCATCACCAAAATTTGTCTGTTCTCTATAATAAATTTTTGTTAATCTTTTGGGATTATTTGGTTTCCCTTTAATGCCATGATTTTACATTGTCAAATAAAGGGAATATACATATGACAAGAATCAGATATGAGTAAAATCACTGTATTTAAACACATGTATGTGTACAACATCCTCATATCTAAATATTTATGTAACATTGGAATTAATATCTGAGAATATGTTCTATAGAAAGCCTGTAAAATATTAGCGTAATGATCATCTCCTTATAGAGAGCCAGAAGACGTTCTTTATATATGTATGTTTGTTTTAGAGTTTTAACACAGTTCAGTGTTATACTTTTTTTTTTTAATGGCTAAGAAATTAGCACTAAAATGTGTAGCGAAAATAGTCAACTCCTCATTTGAAAATGTCGATTGTATGGCAATTTCAGGAGGTAAGCACTGAGGTACATAAGTGATTCAATCACATCATGCCACATGTGTTGTATCATGGGATAAGTTTATGCAACCTGGCAAATTGTATAAGCATAAACCAAATCAAATCCATTCTCTCTAGAATATATTCCTTTTATTGTTTTCTATTGATGTATGGTATCAACTTTCTTCTTTATTCAGCTAATGATTTACAGTAAAATCATTTGAGACCTTTTGGTTTTGTGTATTTATTAGTAATTATAGAACTGTGCTTGCCTCTCAACTGTGCATAGCATTTCCAGTTAAAATACAGCATCGTGGGTTCTTGTTACTTGCTGAGAGAATTTAGACACCAAGTCAGAAAAAAATGCTCCTGCATTGTAATCGCAGACTTTCAAGTGATTTATCTCTGTGTTTTGTGAATATAGATTGATTTATATTTGTGCTTTCTGGTATGAATGGATGATGTTTTTCAGTATGAGTAATTACAAGATACAATCTGATTCAAATATTTTAACAGGAAACACATATTCAAAAACTTCCCAGCAATATCACTTTTTAAAGAAAGCAATTTTCACCACTTACTCCTTTAGTTATTTAAATAGCAAGGAATGTCATTTAAGAAATAATACATATTTTTCAAGGATGTTTGATGTTAATAGCATTCCACAGAAAAATTACTCTTTAACGTTGTTCAATGATTGTACTCGAGAGATACCTTGTTCTTTTCTCTTTAACACTTGTGAGTCACTGAAGACTGTGACTGAACTGAAGTAGAGAGAAAGAGACTACCAAAACTGATAATGTTAAGATTGACAGGTATGCTAAGAAAGCAAGTCATGGGTGCACCTGGAAGTTATTAACCAAAGTGTCTGAAATTTCAAAATTCTGCTAACATCAAATTGGACTGCTTTCTGATACGAGCAACCGTGCTGGAAAATCACTGTCCAGATAAATCTATACTAATTTTATTTTCATTGAAGTGATGATAGATAGATAGATGATAGATAGATAGATAGATAGATAGATAGATAGATAGATAGATGATAGATAGATAGATAGATGATAGATAGATAATTGTGTAATTTATATATATAATTGTTTATATATATGTATATGCAATAACATACTTAACAGAAAAATAACTCATCCCTCTGTGTTCTCAGTTCTACTGTGACAAAACACAACTACTAATTATGTTATCCATTTATTCCAGTATCTTTCTTGATATTTCTAAATAATATTTTATATAGATATTTTATGATTTATTTATTACAGAACAACATTCAGCTTCCTTATTCCAACACAGTACACTTCTCTCAGATCACTTTTTAATAACATTGCACGTTTAAATTGAGCCTGTAATTACTCTCAGGGCATAAACTCCAAGTAGTATATAATGATTCTTCTTTCTCCCTTGCACGCACTGTTGCAATGTTTTGGTTTTCTTCTTTTTAGTGCTTGCCTCATTCTTCACCTGCGGAGTTTACCAAAGACCAATTCTTATTTTGACCTATTAGCTCTTTTATACTTTAAAAAATATATAAATTTGTTTGTTTGTCTGCTTTGCACAAAAGTCTGACTTTCTGTGATTATTTATACCCTGAATTTTTGGTTTTTTTTTCCTGAATTACTCAGTCTCCCTGTTTCACTGTAGTTTGGCCACACTCTCATAGACTTGTTTTCACCTTTATCACACTAGGTGCACTCATCTAATGGTGATGAAAATATTCTATGTCTTGATTGGAGTGTTAATTACATGAGTGTATTCACTAGTTATAACTCATTAAACTTTTTTCTGATTTCCACATATTCTTTTCCCTGACTTGCACTCTCTTTTGGCTAGGTCATGTCTGCTAAGAGCTTATGATGGAAAGGTTCTGGAAATATTGCATTTTAAATTATCTATATATAAGAAAATACCTTCATTATAATCCCACATCTGATTGATATCTTGACTGGTTATATATACTGAAAAAAAAAAAAAAGTGCTTCCTCATCATTCTATGTATTCTATTATCTGCTATTGTTATTTGGAAGATAAATGTTATTATGATTTGTATTTCTCACTATTCCTCTAAATATGGCTGTGGGTTTCTCTGTTGAAGTTTTAGGATGTTCTCTCATTGTTTTATGTTTATTCTTTTTTGATACTTTATGCTTTCAAATTAAAAATCCTTATTTTTTAATTTTGGGAAATTCTTTTGCATAACTTTTTTGATAATTTCCTTTATTTTACTGTTAATGTTTACATTTTTTTTCTGTACAGATTGTATCTATGTGTTACTTTTATCTATGTGTATCTTGTATTACCTGCTGTCAGTCCTTTTTCCTAAAGCATTTTGTTCTTTGCCGACATCTTGTTTAGAAAACACTGTTCTTCTCTGCATGGATGTAATATAAGAAATATGTCTATCTAAACGTATTCTTTGCAGTGTTTGTCTATTGTCTTAAATTTTCTTGCGTGCTCTGAATTATCAGTGGTCCTCCAGACAATTTTATCTGCCTACTTTGCTTTCTTATGTTTCCATTCAAAATTTCCTCAAGTGTAATAAAATGCATGATTGTTTCTTTCAAGGTAAAATGGGTCATCAATAAAAATATTGGAAAGTGTAATTCCAGGAAAAGTTCTGTCCACTGATGGGCTTTGCTCTAGTGTGCCTTAACAAGGATCTGACCCTTTTTTGGGGTGATCTCCAAAGAATAGGTATCTGTAGATCTTGGATAGTTCAGATTTTTAAATGAAGAGTACTGCATATTTTCATTTACGAGACTATGTTGGGCAGAAAATTTTAGGAGGAATTAGGTCGCCAACCTCTCGATATAGAGAATGATGTAATCCCTTTCTCTTTCCTTTAACTCTCTGTTGTTCTCTATTAGTCTTCGGGGCCGTCTTGTTTAATTTCATGAAACTTTATGTCTGATACTTCTTGTCAGTTCAATTCAGGTCTATCAGAATCTATGATGATTTTTATTTCAAGCACTTTGCCATTGGAACTCTGTTCATTAAAACAATACATTACCTTCATCTATGGGATTTTAAGAGGGAGATGTAGAAAATATATGTTGTCATATGCCATATTTAGCTGAATCTTCTTACTAGGTAATCATTTGGTACTTCCCATGAGTTCATAATCTCCTCTTTTAGAAGTCTCATTATTATTATTAATAACTGTCTGTAACCATTTGATTTGCAGCAAACTTCATTCTTTTTCCTGGATATTTTATTTTATCTATTGGTAGAGAATTATTATTTTTTTAATAGAAATTAAACTCCATCTCAATGGCACTTAAAAACACAAATTTTATTTTAACGTAACTGACTTGGTTACTTATTATAATTTATTAGTCTAAATAAGTCTGAAACATTAGTTAATTTTCCTTTTTTAATAACTATTTTATTGTGATATAGTTCACTTGCAATACAATGCATCACTGAACTTTCGTATATTCACTGAGTTGTGCAAACCTCACCACTGTTTTAGAATACTACAATTACTCCAGAAAGAAACTCTGTACACATCAGCAGTCACTCCCCATATCCCTCCATTCTTCAAGCTCTAAACCACCACTAATCTATTTTTAGTCTCTATGGATTTTTCTATTCTGTATTCTATACCTTCACATAAATAGAATTTGTTCATGTAGCAAATGTATTATTATTTTTTTACTAACTTTATTGAATTGTAATTGATATATAACACTGTGAAAACTTAAGGTATACAATGTGATGATTTGATACAATCATTTATGATTAACACAATAGGATTAGTTAATACCTTTGAGGAGATAGAGGCAGGTTAGGCAGTGAAGGACAGGACCATGGAAAGGGAAGGCTGAGACACATAGAAAATGTGAAATGATTTAGAGCTCAGCACACAGGCAGGCGACCCTTTACACAGTATATCCACAGATCTCAAAATAAAACTAAAATCAACATGGGATATTGTGCCTCCAAGGCCAGCTTCTCCCAGCCCTCATTTATAGACATGCAAATTAGAAGCTCCTGGAAGGAGCACAGGTCAATTACATAAAAACAATCAAACAAAAACACAGAGAGGCTAGTTTCAGGCAAGGCAAAGGCAACAGGATTGCTGAATGAGTTCTGTGGCAAAACTATAGTGAATTTCTATCACAGAAAGCCAGGTTACCTTAGCAAGGATTATGGGAAACCAAAGTTGGATTTGGGGGAGAAACCAAAAGCAAGCCTAAGGTTGCTCCAAGGGTGATTCTACTCCTCTTCACTCATAGTCTGGAAGAAGTAGAAATTATCAAAAAAAGGGAAGCCACTAAGGTCCCTATAGATGACCTAGGGCTGAACCCAGTCAGACAGAAAACACAAGCTTTAAAATGTATGGATGTTGCTAAGGCAGAATTCCTTGAAAGGACCAATCAGAATCTAGTAAGGCATATATCTACCCTTACACAACACAGTCTTGTCAGTAACCCACTTGAGTTCCCTCCCTGCTGTAGAGAGTCTATCTTTCAAATAAAGATTACTTTCACTTACCCCTTTGTTCATGAACACATTCTTCATTATTTTGAGACAATGAACTCTGACTGGAATACTACTGCTTTTTTTCATCTTCATCATCTCTCATAAATATATTTAAATTATATTTAAGACCTATATTTTTAGCAAATTTAAGTATATAATACAATATTGTTAACTATATGTTATATTGTATATTATAGATTATAGAATCTAGATCCTAGATCTTATACTTATATCATATATTATATTATTTTTATCTTTCTTATGTAGATAGAATTAACATATAACATTATATTAGTTTTAGGCGTAATAATGATTAGATGTTTGTATATATTGTAAAATAATCAGCACAGTAAGTCTAGTTAACATCCATCACCATACATATTTACAATTATTTTTCTGTGATGAGGACTTTAAAATCTACTTTCTGCCCTGGCCAGTTTGGCTCAGCAGTTAGAGCGTCGGCCTGCAGTCCGGAGAGACCCGGGTTCTGTTCCCCCTAAGGGCACGTACTTCGGTTGCAGTTTGTCCCCGGCCCTGGTTGGTCGTGCGGGTGGCCGCCACTCGATGTGTCCCTTCACGTCGATGTTTCTCTCTCTCTCTCCCTTTCTCTCTCTCCCTCCCACTCTATCTGTACAAAAAATGGAAAAAATATCCTAGGGTGAGGATAAAAAAATAAATAAAATAAAATCTACTTTCTTAGCAACTTTCAAATATACAATACAGTATTAATAACTATGATCCCCATACTGCACATTATATCACATTGTTATTATTGATTCCATTTTTATGAAATATACAAATCCATAGAGACAGAGTGCAGATTGGCAGCTGCCAAAGGCTAGAAGGGGAAATGAAAGTGTTTATTTAATAGGCAAAGAGTTTCTGTGTGGGATGATGAAAGAGTTCTAGAAATGGATAGAAGAGAAGGTTTGTAAAATACCATAAATACATTTAATAGCACGCCCCATACACTTCAAAATGATTAAATGGGTATATTTACATTGTGCATATTTTATTATACTAAAAATGATCAGAAAGCTATACAACAAAACATTTCATTATTGGCTTTTGAGTGGTAAAATTATAAAGGTCGTGACTTCCTTCCTAGTTACTCTATAACAAGTTGTATAATAAACATATATTACTAATTATTGGGGGCAGTGCATATAATTGGCTTTAGTTTATAAAATAATGCATCTAGCATATAGTTATTTGATGTTACCACACTGCAAAGCCTTCAAAATGAGAGCCTCTGGACCTTTGGGTAGTGAACACAATCTTGGCAGGGTATTGGGTTCAGTTGGACTGCATCCCTATTGTTAACTATAGTTACCAGGCTGTACAGTAGACCCCCAGAACTTATTATTTTTCCTGTAATGTTGTGTCCTCAGACCAACATCTCACCATTTCCCCTCACTCAATTTTCCAAATATCATTTTATGCATTATAATCAGAATTCATTTGTATATGTGTCCATAATGTAAGAGATACAGATATAGACATATACACACACAAAGGAATGGTTGTTCTTTCAAATCATTCTTTATATACAAGTGTAATAAATGTAAAGCTATTTAAAATTCTATATTCCCATTTTTGATAATAAACTTATGCTTTTCTTTTAAAAAATATCAGTAACAGTTTTTAATAAATGTATACTTACAGCTGTGAACAAATAAAATACTTTTACATAATAAAAGGCACACTTCTCCATAACATCTGCAAAAGAAAGACAGCCTCCTATTGGCATAAAAAGATCATTTGTACTTTCAACAGTAGGTGTTATTGGCCACTTGTATCATTGAAATACACTGATATCAAACATTTTCTAATGGATCAACCTAGAGAACAGTAAGCTATGTGAAATGAGTCAGAGAAAGACAAATAACATATGATTTCACTTATATGTAGAATCTAAACAACAAAAGATGTGAACTTACAGAACAGAAACAAACTCATAGATACAGAAAACAAACTGATGGTTGCCAGATGGGAGGGGGATTGGGGAGCTGGGTGGAAAACGTGAAAGGTTTAAGAAGTATAAATTGGTAGTTATAAAATAGTCACGGGGTTAAAGGGAATATAGTCAATAATATTGTAATTATGTATAGTGCTATGTGGGTACCAGAATTATTGGAGGATCACTTCATAAATTATAAATATGTCGAACCACTTATGCTGAACACCTGAAAATAATATAAAATAATATTGAATGTCAACTGCAATTGAAAAAAACAAAACAAACCATTATTTTCTAAGTACCATTCATTATGAAAATGACATCAAGAAAAATGCTATGCTAAAACTTGTTCACATAACAGGCAAATAAGTATAATATCACAACTAATGTAAGTGAGATCAGTAAATTACATGTTTGAAACTGTGTCCAGAAATACACTACTTACTTGAATTTGAATTTTTCAATGAGCATCCATTCATTCCTTAAGACTTTATTGAGCAACTGCTATAGATTAAGCACTCTAATAGACCATGGAGTATTAAATATGAAACCGACCCTCTCTTTGCTTGAATATGAGTTCAATGGAAGAAATATACAAACAGGCAAATAGCTTTAAACAGAAATACTATTTTTAGAAAGGTGGAAAAATTGTGATGTAGAGCCCAAGTGATTTGACTAGTTGAGAATTGGCAAGTCCTAATTGCAAAGGCAGCACTGAGCTAGGAAATTGAATGCATATAGAAACGTATTTGATAGAGGAAAAGAGATGGGGATTCTAAGCAGAAGATAGAAAAAGCTTTGTGAAAACACTTAATGTGTAAAAAAAAAAAAAAATGGACTGCCATAGACACAGAGAGCAGACTAATGTTTGCCAGAGGGGAGGTGATTTGAGGGACATCTCGATAAAACGTTGAAGGGATTAAGAAGTGCCTACAACTCTATCCTCACCACCTACACCACCTTGGAGCACTCTGATTGTGCCTTCATGGTTGACAATGAGGCCATCTATGACATCTGTCTTGGAAACCTTGATATTGAGCTCCCAACCTACATTAACCTTAACTGCCTTATTAGCCAGATTGTGTCCTCCATTGCTCACTCTTCCCTCAGGTTTGATGGAGCCTTGAATGTTGATCTGACCGAATTCCAGACCAATCTGGTAACTTATCCCTGCATCCACTTCCCTCTGGCCACATATGCCCCTGTCATCCCTGCTGAGAAAGCCTACCATGAACAACTTTCTGTAGCAGAGATCACCAGTGCGTTCTTTGAGCCAGCCAACCAGATGGTGAAATGTGACCCTCACCATGGTAAATACATGGCTTGCTGCCTGTTGCACTGTGGTGATGTGGTCCCCAAAGATGTCAATGTTGCATTGCCATTATCAAGACCAAGTGCAACAACGTTTGTGGACTGGTGTGCCACTGGCTTCAAAGTTGGCATTAATTAGCAGCCTCCCACTGTGGTACCTGGTGAAGACCTGGCCAAAGTACAGGAAGCTGTGTGCATTCTGAGCAACACCATGGCTATTGCTGAGGCCTGGGCTGTCCTGGACCACAAGTTTGACCTGATGTATGCCAAGCGTGCCTTTGTCCACTGGTACGTGGGTGAGGGCATGGAGGAAGGAGAGTTTTCTGAGGCCCTTGAGGACATGGCTGCCCTTGAGAAGGATTATGAGGAGGTTGGTGTGGATTCTGTTGAAGGAGAGGGTGAGGAAAAAGGAGAGAAATACTAATTTCCATTCTTTCCAGCCCTGTAACATCATACTCAGAACTTCAGGTTCAACAGCTGACAGGTGTTAAAGTGTTCTGGCTAGATTTTCTTTGCTTTTACCTGTGATTATGTCTGTCTTTTTCATGTATACCTATAAGATTTTCCCCTCATGTTTAAAAGTAAAGGCATTGAGAAAGAAAAAAAAATGAAGTATAAATTGGTCATTACAAATAATCATGGAGATGTAAAGTACAGCATAGGTCATAATGATGTGTCAGTGTAGGTTCGTCAACTGTGATAAATGTCCCAACCACTCTGGCTTAGGATGTTGATGATGAGGGAAGCTGATTCTTTATGGTTAAGAGAAGGAAGTATAAGAAAACTCTTTGTGTTCCACTCAGTAATTTTGCTATGAAAAATAAACTACTCTAAAAACTACACACACACACACACACACACACACACACACACACACATATGGAGAGAGAGAGAGAGAGAGAGAGAAATCAAGATGCACTGATAAGGAAGAAATTAAAAATTAACATGTAAACAACTTCAAGTATCTCCCTGAGAGGCAGTGGATAACAGTGGTACAAAGGAGTAAGTGCATGAATTTCTTTTATTCTCTGCTTTATGTCATCATTTGGATCATATACCAATTATATACCAATTTATATAACTATAATAACTTATCTTGCCTTTCATCTAAAAATTATACTTCAGAGTAATTCAAACATCAAGTTCAAGTTTCTAATTTATAGATGTAATCCAGTTTATAAATAAAAAAGAAATGAGAGAAGTATCTTTCTATCATTTTGCGATCTTAATGTGATTAATGGATCAGTGTGGTATGTTCATCATTATTTAATAACATAACCAAAAGAAAGACAACCAGACATTAATATGCCTCCTCATGGAAGTGCATAATATAAAGTATGATAGGTGTAGCAAAAAGATTCCAATCTGAATTGGATCAAGCTTCTACATGTAACTAACAATTTCAAATATATATATAATACAGAATAGCATATACAACATTATCACTTAGATGAAATAAGCACATTTTAACTGGGAAAAATTCTTTACTATAAACAATTCTGTTTCTTCAAAAAATAATTTCAAAGGAAAAAAGTGTAGAAACATAAATTAAAATATATTCATTAATTTAATTTTCTAAAATTATAAATACACACATCTCATTTGTTTCATATTAATAAGCATTCTCAGACAATACTAAATGTCAATGTGTAAACTTTTTATATTCTAATTCAAAGAAATAATCTGTAGAAAAATTATAACAAAGAATAAAATCAGAATCATACCTAAAGTTTTTCATCAATTTTAATATCAACAAAATCAAGTAAGTGTTAGTATTTCTATAACTGATTAAACTTTAACTTTTTTAAAAAGTTAAATTTAACTTTTTTATTTGTTGTTTAGAGATACAAACTAAAATTTAGTGGATGAAATTATATTGTGTCTAATATTAGGTTCAAATAACCTTGTTAGTAGTTAGTTGCAATTGGGAGTTAAGTCTGGGTTTAGATGAGACAAGATTGACTATGATCTGATCATTGTTGATACTGGGTAATGGATACAAAAGGAGTTTATTAGATTATTGTGAATATTTTTGTATATGTTTGAAAATTGCCAGAAGTAAATTGGTTCAAATTCTCATTTGAAGGCACGTAATGTTTTAATTTGTATTGTTAGAAAAGATTACTGTTGGTGGGAAATAAATTCTTAATGAGACTGTTACTGCTTTGAAGGTAAAATCAAGATTATTTTCTGGAATAAGGACAAACAAGTCACTGACTTGATTAAAAATATCTTGTTAAATTTAACTTCTGTATGTATTCTAATTTCTTTCTATGTCAAAATCTTTGGTAATACCTTTGGTTATATTGCTGCCTTCAGACAATGGTCATTTAAAATAAATATTATCAGTTTGGAAAGACAGTTATGAGTTGGCAAAATGTGATCTGCAGTAAAACCTAGTGATTGTTTCAGGTTAGATGACTGGGTAATATGACAAGAGAAAATCAGGAAATTGTTGTAGAATATGCAAATATCTTCTCTGTTCATTTGTTGCTTTCAGATTTATAGTTCACATATGAGTGAAATCATATGGTTCTTAACTTTTTTCTGTCCGATGTATTTTGCTTAGCATGAAATTCTCAAGGTCAATCCACGTTGTTAAAAATGGCATTATTTTATCTTTTCTTATGGCTGAGTAGTATTCCATTATATATATGTACAAGAAAAACAAATAAGCAAAAACTCATAGATACAGACAACAGTATGGTGGTTACCAGAGAGAAGGGGGAGGAGGATAGTAAAGGGTAAAGAGGGTCAAATATATGGTGATAAAGATGATTCGACTTTGGGTGGTGAGCACATAGCATTATGAAGATTATGAATTACAGAAATGTACACTTGAAACCTACATAATTGTATTAACCAATATTACCCCAATAAATTTAATAAAAAGAAAAAAATTACAATAAAAATAGTTATTGATGATATAAATAAAAATAGATGATGATTCAAAAAAGAGAGTATGTAAATATCCCTTGGGGATATCTAGAAATACATGAGGAAAAGCTATCGTATAAACTCATGAAAACCTAGAGGTCAAGCAACTTGTGGACTTCAAATTTGCTTTTTTCATTTTGTTTTGTGTTTTAAGGGGCTACTAAAGAAATGTGTGACTATTAAAGGGACAGATATGATCATTGGTGACATAGTATAATTTTAAATGTTATTGTTGAAAAGGAAGTCTCCATAGATAAATCAGAAATAGCCACTCAAGGTAATTTGTTATTCTCAGAATTTAATTACTTCTTTCTAAAGAACAATTTGGCAAATCAAAATTAAAACTATGAGCGCTTAATGATGTTGGACGTTTGTTTGTATGATGACACATATTCATTACATTTTATAAAATTGTAAAGAAATATATCTCAGAGGTTTCATATGAAAAATTTTCTCAGGATATTGAAAGTTAAGGAGACAATTTACCAGTTAGTTTTTTGCCCCCTGTTTAAGTATTCCTTCAAAGAGCACTGAAGAAATTGTTTCTATAAACTAGCAGTCTAAATTATATCTAAGATAAGATATAGTTTGTGGGAGTTAAATGGAAAAGAGTCGTTTTATTAATCAACGTAATAGCTGTTTATACATGCTAGAAAAAAGGTGAAAATGTTTTTATTTTGATAACACAAAATCCAATTAACATTCTTAAAGATTCATAACTCTATGTGTAGCATTAACAGTAGTCTCCTGGACACAACATGGACTTTTGTTGTTATTAATCCTCAGTCAAGGATATTTTTTCAAATTTTTAGAGAAAGTAAAAGGGAGGGAGGGAGGGGGGAGAGAGAGACAGAGAGAAACATCAATGTGAGAGAGACACAACCATTGGTTTCCTCTTGCATGCCCTGACCAGCTGGGATCTGACCTGCAACCCAGGCAGGTGCTCTTGATTGGGACTTGAACCTGCCACCCTTCTGAGTGCAGGCTGCAGCTCTAACCATTGTGAAACATAGGTCAGAGCTAAAACGTGGATTTTTTATTTATTTATTTATTTTTTATTTTTTTATCCTCACCCGAGGACACTCCTCCACTTTTTGTTCAGGTAGAGTCGGGGGGGAGAGAGAGGAACAGAGAGAGAGAGAGAAACATCGATGTGAAAGGGACACACCGAGTGGCTGCCACCCACACAACCGACCAGGGCCGGGGACAAACTGCAACCGAGGTACACGCCCTTAGCGGGAACCAAACCCGGGTCTCTCAGGACCGCAGGCCGACGCTCCAACCGCTGAGCCAAACCGGCCAGGGCTAAAACGTGGATTTTTAACAAGGTCTTGTCCTAAGTAGGATTTAAATACCACGATAAAGTGAACACTAAGTATAAATACAGGCAATTAAATTTTTTACCTAGAATACTATAGGTCCTCATTAAATGTAAAATGTGAATACAAAACAGTCTCCTCTTTTCTTATGCTTTTACTTTTAATTTAAAGTTGTACCTTGGCTGTATTATGACATAAAATAATTATTTTTTTCTTTATTTTATTTTACTTTTTCCATGAACATTTATTCCCATGTTCCCTTCTCTACCTCAATCACCACACTTTTCTCCATGAGTTCTTTCTCTCCCTGTTTTCTTCTTCTTCTTCTTCTTCTTTTTTGCTCATTCCCTCAGTCACATATCATGGCAACTCAAAAAGATCGTGACTAGCAGCATTCAAGTCCAACAAATAACTTGCCCTGAGTTTGAAGGCAGTTAATAAATTATATATCTAAAGAAAAATATTGAATTTTATTTCTAAGACTTTAACCATAGGTCAAAATAAGGTTGAATTAAAGTGAATATAAATCACAGCAGAATCTGAAACAGTAATATACTACATCTGTCAGTACTAGTGATTCTGTCAGAAATCTCTTCAAATATCAGAAAAACCATTCGAGGATGCTGTGTGTGTTGAAAAAGGAAAAGTCTAATTTTTTTTTTCATTTAACGGTGAGTGCTTTATGAATCAATAAACCACAGGTCATGATAAAGCTGAAAAAAGTTTAGTAAAGGACTAATATGAGATGAGAGGTGAAAATAAAATTAGTTCTTGTTTATTTGTTTTTTTATTATAGAAGCTTTTTAAAAAATTTTTGTTTTTGACACTATTACAGATGTCTGCACATTTATAAATGGGATTATTAATAGCTTATACTTTTTGAATCAGCCATTTCTCCAAAGAGCCTTGGTTCCTTCAATTGACTAGTCATATAAGAGGCTTAATTCATTTCCTTGCTACTAGACCCTTTTGTCAGACAGAGAAAGGTATAATATGTGTATATCTTTAAATATTTCTATGTGTCCATATGTATCTATTTAAAAATAGTATGAGTTCAAACTGATGTTTACAAGGTAAACCATTACCAAAATGGAATATTCTCTGGCCTTCTCTCCTTGCTAATCTGTAACTCCAAGTATGAGAAAGTTGGCTCCAACTATCCGTCATT